CCCCCCGACATTTGGTGTTCGATACGCGTATTCGTTGAATAGTGCTTCTATTTGTATTCGAACCGCGTTCCTGAATCCTTCCATTCGAGGTCCAAGCTGCGCCTCATAGTTTGCAAACTGTTTACTTACGTATTGGCTATACACTAAGAGTATATGACACCTGGAAGTACGTGTGATATATTTGATATTCGTGACTCTACATTACTTCGCGGTCCTTAAGAAGGTGTGGCTAATATCAGTGATCGACTTACTGATCGATTGTGTTTTTGTAAAATTTGCACCTGCAGTGTTGTTTGTTATGGAGAAACTTGAAGGATGGCTTCATTGAGAGAAAATATGAATATCGAGTGGTTCAGAAAGTTTTAAAATCGGAAAAATACGAGAATAATGTAGGTCGATGGAAATAAGATTTCACATACTGTGTTTCTCTGTGATACTTTATGCTATCCACTGGGTAGCCTCATAATTACTTTATCAAGAAATCTTTTTAGATATGAATTTTGACACCATTGGAATTTTTTTTTTTTTAGATATGAATTTTGATACGTTTGGAGAGCTCATTAAGTACTTGCCTATCAACTTACTTGACACGATGATTTGTGATCGTATGGCTATTAAGCAACTTTTTGTCCTCGACTTTTGGTTTTAACGAGGAAAAAGATTTAACATTTAGGTTTAAACAGATTTGATAATTCTCGAAAACAGTGACAAACATTCAGGCCATAAATTTCTAACTGAATTTAACTTTACAACTGAACAGTGACTAAGACCAAACACAATCAGTTAAACTGAATGAACTTTAGGAAACTCGATGCAGGAGATCATGGCGAATTAAGGAACGGAGAAAAGGAGGAGGAGAAAGTAATCAGAGTGGAATCTTGGTTTCTATGTTTGCTACGAAAAGTTGAAGCCCCTTCGAATGATTGAATTAATTAGAGGCTTTTGTAAGATCGGATACTTTTAGCTAGATTTTCTTCCTTAGACACGTGGAATTGTAGAAATTGCTGACCGCAAGTTTTTAAGCTTTATAAAAATATGATATCAGTAGAATTTTAATACTCAATCGTGCATGTTTGGTGCCACAGAGGTATTTTTTCTTTTTTGCTTTATTTAACTGCTGAGGAAATGACCTCGTATGCACAAAATGGTATTTTGATAAATTGCCTGCAGCTGAACGAGACATGAAGCCTCTAAAGCCATTTTTCCCCTTAATACATTGAACGTCACATCCTTCAGAAATAGGTGACACTTACTTTCGTCCAAAGATAAATGAGCCGTAAGGTGCATCGATCACAAAAAATTCGTAATGACCCGAATTTTGTTGACCGAGCGCCATTTTAATATCTGTGAACATGGAAAAGTGGGGCAATCGCATGGAAAAATCTTTAAAAAGTAATGAAATTGTTCATAATTCTATAGTTTGACATTATTGTTAACTATTGATTTATACGCGCAAAATATGATTTCATCAAAAAATTGATTAGTTTGCGATACTTCATCATACAAGACGTGTTCAACTTCCTCGCTATAAAATTGTCAGATTAATTAATTAATAAATTTTCATTCAAATACAATCTACAAAATATCTCAGTACAATTATTACACGTACAAAAATTCTACTAACCTTCTCTACATTTTTGGCTTAACTGACAAAAAGAGCAGCCATGCCCGTCGTTGCCCCAATCCCGAATCCATTGCGCGAGAAATAAAAAGGCGAGCAGGCAATGATCTCGTAAATAAGCGCGGAGACATTGCTACTTTCTCGAATCGACTACACGCAATAAATTGCCAGCAACAATGGCCGAACGAGTTGCAAGGGGACACATAAATTGGTATCAAGCTCTCAGCGCTTAATTCAACGCAACATTCGTACGGGCCTTCCAATCCCACGCGATGTTCACCCGGAGCACACGATGTCCTTGAGACAGCGATATTGCGTCGAGTCGCCGTTCCAGACGACATTTAACGATAACGAAACGCGAGCAAAAGGTGTGCACACACAGTGTCCACCCGTGCCTCCTCTAAATCGTTGGAACAGGTACACCAAGTGACCACCTACAGGAACGAACCAATCTATTTGTCGTCCGTTGCTAACCCCACCCTTTCTTTTCTAAAACGGGAAAAACGAACGAAGATTCGTTAATATGTAGTCTCGGGGACGTGAAGGGAGGCGACGTCGCGATTTTTTCGAAGCATGTTGCAGCGTTATTAGAGCCGGTATCACTGGTTACGCGCACGTGATTCACGGTTACCATTAGCATGGTTTTTACCACAGCCATCGTATGGTGGACACGTTTTCTTCTTTTTGCCTCTTTCAATCACGGCGAGTTTAATAAGGCGCCGTTGAACGTGCGAATTTCGCGAATGCGCGAGATGAAAAATCAAGAAGTCATTATCAGCCTCTGAAACACGGCGTGTTCAACGTGATCGTACACTCCCTCTCATAAGTATCGGACATTGAAACAAGTTATTGGTCCAGTACACCTGCTGATATAATACAGAACGTGATAATTATTCCAGATTATCAAGGAGACGGTTAATTGGTCAAAACTATATGAAGATTACAGGTGAAAGATATGATAATTGAAAGTTTGTTGATTTTTTGGTTTTAATGTTACTTAATAGTTAAAAGCATATTTTTACACCTTCTGTGCGCAAGTTGCATCGTTTATGTCCGCGTCCAATTGTTTTACTATTCTAGGTTCTCAAAAAATCTGAAACTCTAACATACTAACTGCCTCTACTATATCGCACAAACGATTTTTGAGTCAAGCGTTTAAATGATATTTCAAGGAAAATAAAAATTTAGTTTGAAGAAATATATGGGTGAAATTTCACTGAGTGCGTAAATGGTCCAGGTTTCTATGAATCGTGGGCTATAGCAAGTTAATAAATTACTATTAATTTTATCTTATATTTCGCAAGTCTCCCAATACTTATGGACGGAGGTGTACACGCGAGGAAAAACGGCGAATAGAATAATGATTTTATAAGTTGTTGTCTTGCAACGTTTCGGGGACATAGTGAGAGTTCATTGTTTACGTGGAGCATAAGTATAGAAGACCGCATTGAACGATCTGGCTTCTTCACTCGAGAGCGCGTACAATTAGGGTCGTATTACATGCGTACTGGTCTTGTCGTTTTGCTTACCCGTTATCGAGCACCATTGACACCGTTCTCCAGGAGGGAGGATTAGCGATGTAAATTTTCCACGAGGCCAGACAAAATTATCGAGGCGCGATATCGTTGTTTGGATGAAATGATAAATGAGGACGATATAATCGACACGACTTTGAGAACAACCAGCATTACCAGATCGTGAAACATTTGTTGTGTCGATGTTTAATTATTTGGTTCGTGTAGTGAATATCTTAATCAGTGGATTTGAGTGAAGATATGGTATTATGATTGTTGAAGTGGTCACCACTTATAAGAAAACTCTACATCTGGTCTTTTTAGTTTTCTCAAGCACTGAAGCCACCGACAGCGTGTAGACAAAAGACTGCGACGAAGTCAGACCATAAACAGTAGACAGGTGACGTTGGCTTCGGGGTTTTCAGTTACTGGGTAACACAGCTAGCGTGCGGATCTGAACCAGCTCAAATTGTATTCTTACTTATGATTACACTTCTATTTAAATATATTTTCCGCCTTACAATTTATCCACGTGTTTTCTCTGTTTACACATCGAATAACCTCAACAATGGTTTTTAGTTTTCTCAAGCTGTAGACAAAAGACTGCGACGAAGTCAGACCATAAACAGTAGACAGGTGACGTTGGCTTCGGGGTTTTCAGTTACTGGGTAACACAGCTAGCGTGCGGATCTGAACCAGCTCAAATTGTATTCTTACTTATGATTACACTTCTATTTAAATATATTTTCCGCCTTACAATTTATCCACGTGTTTTCTCTGTTTACACATCGAATAACCTCAACAATGGTAAAATATGTGTTCTGATGACGTTGAATACCTTTTTTATATATGTAATAAACTTATTTAGGAATATCGAATATCAAGAAAATTGTTTTACAGATAAAAATAAGACTAATACGTGTGATATATGTGGTAGTTATTTAAAAATATTGAATATCAGGAGAATCGTTTTACAAATAAAAGGAAGAATAAAATGTTTGAAAATGTGATAATTTTGTGTGACTGTTTACAGTGAGAAATTGAATATGTAGTATTGACAAAACTGAAATGCGAGGACGTACTAGAAGAATGCATGGTTACTGAAGTTTTTGGATGGACATGATTGAATGTATCCTGGAAACATTTGCACAATTTCATTAAAGTAGCTAATGAACATCGTATAATGCAAAAAGGAGAAATTTGCTCGAGCTGCGTGCCTGAATTATTAGTTTCTGAACCATAATCGTTGAGTTCTTATATTGCGTTGTATCTCTTTATGTTGTACTCACATATTTCAATATTATTTCAATACTTTTAATAATAGTTTTACTTACCAAAGTAACAAACATAGCAAAAGAGATTAAAATTCAATATCTAAAACCGTCTTCAAACAAGGATCAATATGGCTGATAAATTTATGAAGACCCTAGAATGTCGTCACGCGAGTACAAGGCATAAAGAGAATTCCTATTTAACTGGAATAGCAGGACAAGAATCCACGTTTTACTGGACTGGAATTCAAAGCAATCAAAGCATCCGGGTCGCGACGTGGATTCTTTTTCTCTCCTAATCTCAATATCGAAATGCCTACCATTTACGACACAGGCGGACAGATTTTCGCGTGATATTACGACGATTGCACGCGGGGAAAACAGAACGATTTCTCTGAATGACGCGACCTGAATTTGTGGAGAAACACTATCGTGGATATCCTCGAATGGAATTCGAGGGACTGACAATGAAATTTGCTCCCGGAATCGTGCACCATTAAAAGTGATCGTTGCTTGTTCGACAGCCGTGTAACCTGTGGCGCGTTGTAACTCACGTACGTCGGTAATAATTTTCTTGCACCACGTAAATCCGACCACGAACCACTTCAAAGATTTGTTAGCCGTCTCTGCCATTTTGTCAGAGGCTGGGATTGTTGTGTGAACGGAAGCCGCGTTGAAATACCTCTGGGGTTAAGTTCTATATCTTTGTTCGGACGTTTATTGCATTGATTTCTTTATCCAATTGAAGATTAAAGTTAAATTAACAAAAGCTGTTATTTCTGATTCCTTTTTAGTCAATTTATATGATTAAATTCTATTGAATCCACATTAAATGGAAATATTTATTATGTTAAATTTAACTTAATAATAATAATAATAATCTAAACGTAACTTAATTTGTTATTATTTTATTTAGGTAATGTTTGTTGAATATAGCGATGCCCGCTTCTAGCATTTTGATCTTGTATACTGATCTTTCTTCAAACAATGATAGATTGATATAATATTTCATTTAAATAATCAAAGATTACGTTCTTTGCTTTCCTACGACATATCTTTCAAAATTTCCAACCGTTTTATTGTTCAATATGTTAATAATCAGTAAACTGTGTTTAAAAAAAAATTGAATTATCATGCTATTTATAAAAAATAATGGCTGAATAAATTTATCCTCCTAAGAACTCTTCATCTAAAATTCATTATATCCAAATTGATTACTCTCTGTCCCATTTAACTGCCAATCCATCAATCAATGTTCTATAATGGGTGGAACAACCCATAATTTACTGTGTTAATGATAAAATACAATTCGTTTGTTTACGAATAGAATAAAATCGAAGGATATCTCTCTCCGCTTCTTTAAGTTTGCCTTCTTAAAATCCCGCGAACGCGCAATAGAAACTGAAAAGAAGATATCTAAGAAGTCTCACTCGTGACTCCACAAATCATAGGACGTCTCCCGCAGACGTGAATTCAAGCTACCTATCACTTCTCTCTGTTATTCACTGGCGTCAGCCTCAGGCGTACAAACCATTCGATCGAAACGTGGTCAATCGATCATGAAACATGTCCACGCTTCAAAAAATGCGTCTTACGAAGGAAGAGAAACAACAAAAATAAGAAGAAAGAGAGGAAAGAGTGAAAGTTATACTTTCGAGCCACTAAACTTATCGAATTTCCTGCCCTAACACGAACCTTGGAAACTCCACGGTTTAGGAATGGAAAATTTATTCAAGCGCGTACATTTACGCCAGCATGTTCATCTCGACTTCGAATTCAAATGCCAGTCGATGCGACACCATAGTGCGTGAAGGACGGTGTGCTAAGTCGAATCCACAATTCAGAAGTTCTCCTCGAGCATGACGGGAAAGGTCGAAGAAGTTCACGCGTGTACGTGCACCGCTGCTTTCTATGGCGAATTGTATATGGGGCTTCGTGTGGAACGCGACATTTCAGTTCGCTGAACACGTATAAAATCACGCTGGGACTGCTGCGCAGCGTCGACCAAGTTAGGCTACTGTTATTGCCTGAACAGTTACGTAACCGATGAATCATTTCGTTGAGATGTGGTATTTTACCGATCGAGTTGTACGTATTAACCTTCGCCATGTGAAATCAGTATCGTATATGGACGAGATCGTGAGGATAATGAACTGTGTGCTGAATGGTGTAGAGTTATGTGGCTCTGCACGTGGGAAGAGATGCTTTTGATCCTTCCTGGCGCTGGTCGATTTCGTATCGCGTGACTGACTGCAGCGAAATGTGTTTCCTAGACATTCGTTCGGGTGTTAAATTAAGTAAATCGTCGACGCTTAGGCAACACGCAAAAATAGCCGGTAATTCCATGTATTTAAAAGGACTTATAAATTGTATTAAAGAGAATGTATTAAAAAGATCAATTTTTTTAGAGAGTGATTTGAAGTTTCATTATAGTGTTAAAACAACTAAACGTTCCTAAACTAAACGTTCCTAAATTAAACTAAACGAACTAAACGTTCAAAACTTAAATAATATGTAAATGTAAGAAGTAAAGACTTGCAAGTAAATAAAAGTATTTAAAATGATCGGCCAGCGAAACAAAATTTCCAGTAATACCAATTGTATATTCGCAATATCAAACAACCTGTTCCACGCTTTCGACATTAAAAATTCTTAAATTCTGGGACGACACGTTCCAAACATACATCGATTACAATATGTCGGAGACGTGATTGCAAAATTCCCCCATCTAAAGGTAACTCGAAGATGGGAAAGAATTCCAGATGAAAATGGCACATAGCTATATACAAGCCAAAGTATCGATCGAAATCTCATGAGTTCCCGAGCTCCACTTACGATATTGAAAACAAAGTAATCGACCGATATTCGAGTGGAAGTGAAAATCGATCGACGCTCGTTAGAAACCAGGGAGAAGGAATTTCTTTTCCGTGTCAAGGAGAGGAACGTGTATAACGTAGGTACGGGTTGCTTCGATGCCAACCTGGAGAAAGACGAGTGTAAGTACGATAACCGGATATATTTCATCTCTCCTCTCGACATTCATTGCACGTAACTATACTCTTTATTCGGCGGACGCGGTGAGCACACTAGCTAAGGTATCCCAGTGAATATTATTCAGACTTGAACGCGTAACGACCACGATTCCGCAGTCGAACGTAAAATTCCATTGGATCGTGTATAACGCAGCTCACTGTCTGTTGGAAAGATGAAGATTCTGCTTTGAAATTTCGTGATTCGCCATGTAATTAGGTATGACGGTTCTCCTTTCAGTAAGGAGCAATTGTGCACGATGTTTTTTGTCTGAGAGAAATTTTTTTATTTAAAAAACGTAAATAAATCGATTAATAGAATTAATGAAACAGGAAGAATCTGAATTTCAGCGTCATAAGCGATCTCCTAACTCGTTAAGCCAAAGATTAGAATATATGAAACTAGATACACTGAAAACTAAATAACGAAACTTTCGTTGATACATAAGAATTCAATGATATATATCACATAAAACCAACTATGGGTATTAAATAAAACGGTCTTAATTGATTTATATGACACTTCAATATATATATATATTAATGATAATGATGTAAGAATTATAAATATAAGTTTTGTGGAAGACGTAACATCTACATCAAACCTTCAATGAATAATTTCAGACACAGTAATTAAAGAGAACACAAGTATTTATGTAGCACACTATCAATTCTTGCTTGCATTCTGATAGATCGTTCGATATAAATGCGATGTAGAATAACGACGCGCTCCGATCATTTTATCTTGATATCTTAAAAGCTGTTCAGAACAGCCTTCTACGCTACTCTTCGCAGCATCATTTGTGTCAAGCATTATTCTTTTTACTATAGCAAATAAGGAGCTAAGGAATGCGCGAAGCGGTTAAAAACAGTTGAATTCGCCCGTAGAGCAGTCAGTTCTTCAGGAAGATCCCACACGTTGATAGTAATTTCAGCGAGA